CGAGCCTCAAGGCACTTCCGGGACAAGTATGTGCCCTAACCAGATAGATCGGGTGAGCGCCCCAGTTCCATTTATGTATATGAATATGTGGGAATCACCGATCTAGTCATGCAACAATGCCCGTTCCGGTTTTGCCCTGGAACTCACTTTAGAGCCCGCGCAGGCAGTCGCATAGCCAGTTGTAATATATGCTGAGGTGGAACCGACAAAGCAAAGGCAGACCGGAATGGCCATTTCTGGCTTATTAACCATCATCAGCCAGGTCATACCCAATCCCAGGTGTGGATCACCCGGGACGTTTGGTCACTGACTTTACCACTCTACCATTGCACCCATAATACGAGAGCGAGGGGGCAAAACAGGTCTGAATGGCTGGGTATGAAAAACCACAGCGGCTGCGGCGCGCGGTTTTAGAGCTGATAATGAGACAGACAGTTAAGTGAAGGCATCTGGTTGGTGCTTGGTCAGATAAGTTTTCTTAACAACGCAGAGACATGAAAAACACACCTGTAGTTCCACTAGTGTAGCACAGAAGATGCAAATCGTCTGGTTCCGGCAGCTGAAAGAAGTATAGCCTTTATCAGTGACTGGCCATGTGTGTGTGTGTATGAAACAATACTGTTAGTAGAAAAATTTTTCAACAGTAAGACGCACAAAATCTAAGGCTAATGATGCGTACCTTCTCGGGTTGAGCGCCCGCAGTGCCAAGATCCTAAAATGGCGGAAGAAGTGCACATGAATAAAGAAATCCCGGAATGGAGACTATGAATTCTGATCATACTTTCTAGCAGCTTTCTTGTGACAACGGACATACACGCAGTTCTAGTTCAAGGGACTAATAATGAGCCTCAGTCTTCAGTTAGATACAAACCCTTCTGACTTCAAATCTTGGAGATCAAGTTTACATAACATTAAGACCAACAGTAAGAAAACTCTATATGGCTAAAATACCCGGTTAGAGAGGCGGCCAACACAAGAGGAGGCAAGAAATCCACATAGACAGTGAGGAAAACACTCAACCTGAAGGAAGGGCGGCGAACGCCAGACCTACCAAGACGTCCTTGAAAAGTAAAATCTGAGCGCGGCCGGCAGCCTCAGAACGCAGGGTGGCAAGTTCTTCCTCACTGGCCTTGGTCAAGATAATGGTTTTGAGGAAGGGCGCTTCGGCGATATCGGAAAGGAGATTGCGAACACGTGTGGGTGAGTCACAGATGCAAACCGAGAGCTCCGCTGAACGCAAACACAAGTACAGCATAACGTGACATTGCAGCAGAAGGGCAGAAAAAAGCAAGCTAGACAGACATCAAATCAATAACTAGCGAGAGCTAAACAGAGTACAGGCCAAGAGCATTAGAAAGACTGGAAGAGTAGGGAAGACCAATGCTGGGGCGCACTGGTGACAGCGAGAACGGTTATGACACTCAGCAAGTAGCTTATCTGCGAACGGTCCTAATTTGACGCCCCCGGCAACCTACTGTTCAATAAATAAGTAAATCCAAATAGAGGCCTAACCTATGACACTGAAACTGGAAATCTGAAGAAACCCCTCTTTCTACCAAACAACCTTTGTGCGGCCAGGCACGTCTTAAGAGTCCTCTTGACAATCGAAAGGATTGCAACGGTCAGACGACTGCACTGAAGGGGAAAATGTCCTGCCCAGCACCAGTGTAGAACAAATGACTGCTGGATGCCAAATAGCGCACAATCTTGAAAACAAGCGCTGCAAAAATGCCGCGGACGCGACGAGTGATCCTGACCGCGCTGTGGTTGTTCACTAATTCTTCAATGCATATAGCATTCTGTGGTACAAATAAGCGGAGAAAAAGCTTGACCAAATCAAAAAATTACAAACATTCAGAGCGTCGTCCCAGTCCTCACTAAGAGTACAGTCCCAGGCGTCGGAACCATAACCACCAAAATAATAGCAATAAGCGATAGCGTCGGTTGACAGTACGACAGCATTCACAAGGGGTGAGAGATAACTAATGGAGATCAAGGCTTCTTGCCAGTCGACCTCACTTTACAGTCCTTAGAAGAAGTTAACTGGCCTGCTCCGAAATTCAGCACTCCGATCTCACAATAATCAATCAAAGTTCCAGAATACCAGGTAACTTGGACGGCAGCATTTCTTGAGGACTGGGCTTTCAGTGAGGAAAGAGTAAGACGCGACATGAGATTTTGGCCCAGCCGCGGTCTACCAGGCGCGTCAATGAGTAGATGATACTGGAATTTAACCACGCCGGTACGCGTTCACGCATTCTCTTTTCCCGGCGCCTTGTTGTTCGGCCAATGTATCCTGCTCCACAGGAGCAAGTAAAGGGGTATATGCACATGGATGTGGCCTTGAACAGGAGTCAGCCCTTACCTCCCTACCATTGACCGCTGCGGACTAAGTGGTCGGAAACTCAACGACTACACGCCGCAGTCGAGTGTGCTCCTGATAAACGGTCCTAGAGGGCATACTACACCTAACGCGGCATGACATAACGCTTACTATACTAATTATAATTATCATATTCACATGTTGTCTGCTTTACCATGCTTACTATTCGAACAAGTGTATCAACGATATTTTGCCGCGGCATAACATGGCTCAGCAACGCGCCCCTCCAGTGTTCGTGCATGTTTTTAGATTTAAACCTTTGGATCTCTTCAGAAATTAATGCGCTAGCTTGGAGCAATTCCTTCCGAGCAAAGCTTTATAGGCTCCGCTGGAAAGTTGATGTGAATGTTTGATCCGGTCTATCTGCTTGAGTGAGATAACCTGTCAGAATGAGAGATCGTGCAACAACAAAGACAGTAAATACGGCTGGCAGAAAATTCGGTCAACTGTAAGACGGATTTTCAGTAGCCAAACTAGAAAATACCAAGCCTAGCCAACATTTCACGGGATTTGGAGATGAAATGGGATCTAGGATCTTCATATTATTTCCCTCTGTTTCGTTTTCCAATAAAACAACTTTCCAGGAGTTACTTGGTCAAGCATCTAGCTCAGTCACGAGTCCCGTTCATTTAGATCTACAGACAGTCGCTATACAGTCTAAATGCAGGGCACATGAGTTCTGAGCGATAGCGTCACCTGCGACGTCAT